CCCTCCACTCGGAGATTGCTAGCTGTCTATTTGAGGGCATGCTGGCCATCCAGGATGATGTAAAAGCATGTCAGCTTGGTGGGAATGTGCAATAGACAGAAGGAGCCCCCCCCCCCTTGCCCCCCCTGCTGTTTTCTATCATTTCAGCTGAACTGAATACAAATAAAAAAACCCTGCGCTGCACCTGCTGGATCTGTCACTATGCTCCTCATTATGAACTGCTGGGCTCATTACTGTCACAACCCATCCCCTTGGCCCTGGGTTCGAACCGGCCTGATCTGATTGGCTATCATTCATTGCATAACAGTGGCTTTTAATAGGAGCTTACTCTGCTTCCTCGGCCTTGAGCCGCACGTGTGTGGGTGCAAGCAGGCGGCCCGCGTGGCATGCAGACACAGAGCCCCGCGCCGCCCACTCCGCCCGCGCCGGCACAGGATGAGCGTGGGCTGGAGAACTGGCAGCACTGAAAAGCCTCGATCTGCGCCTTGCTCCTGAGCCGCTTTCGGCAAGAGGTTGAATGGCTGGGAGCTTCATTCATGCTGCTCTCAAAGCAGGTGGAGAGGAAGACACTGCCGCTGGCGGAGGCCGGGTGAGTTCTCTCCCCGCAGGGCCCCGCCGTGGAGGGAGCAGCCTGAAGGTGGCGCCTAGGAAAGCAAAATATTTGACATTCCAATTATTCCTTTCATACGAGGGCAATTAGCAAGTTATTTTGAAGCTTCCATCAAAAGGTGCTTTGAGGGGGATTAAAATATGATACGTACCGAACAGGGGAGATGGATGAGACATGTGGAAAGGCATGGCCATCCTGATCCCCCTCCCTGCTTGTTTTTCTGCCCCTGTACATGCAGCATTTCAGCGCTTCCCCATACTGGCAGTGAGTTGGTCCCGCCCCATGCACACGGCGTATTGGTCTCGCTCCATTACGTGCCTCATGTTGGCCCCACCCCCATACACACACCATACAGGCTCCGCCCCATAAACGTAGTGTGTAGGATCCACTCCCATACACATAGGAAGTTGGTCCCCCCACTTTCTTACAAGCAATATATTGTCCCCACCAACATGTACACAGTGTGTTGGTCTGACCCCCATGAACGCAGCATGATGGCCCCGCCCTATGTTCCAGTCTGGGGACGGCTGCAGAATCTTTCCTGGATCTGGGTACCCACTCGTGTACCACTGGACACACACCCTGGTGGGCCCACGATGCCCATCCAGTCTCCTTATAGACAGCATAGGCGTGTGGTATCTCAGAGCACCACAGGATTTACGATCAGGGATTAAACATGCTTTATATGTCCATGTATGGTCATCACATACACTCCTAGTCAGACAAGGGTGCTGTCTGCAGCTCTGTTCAGGGTAGGCTTTAAAAGCTGTGGATTTTTCCCATCTGGTGTCTGCATTTGCTTGTTGCGACTGCGCCACCTGGTGGACAGTGAGAACAAAGCTGTGAGCCTGTGTCCCAAATTCATCGCCCTGGTGAGAGGATACAGGACCAAAGAGCAGCCCAGCTGTGTTTCCCGGTGTGTTTCTTGGTGTTCTGACCCATTTCTCACTCGACCTTCGTGATCTGAGAGCAGAGGGTCCAGGCCGGCAGCGGGGGCTGCGGCTGGCGATTCCCAAAAGCTGGGAAGTGCGGGAATGGGAACCGGTGACAGATTCTCGGCCCGCCGCTCATGAATGAGGCCCACAGGAGGCAGCGTCGGCTGTCAACAGCCTGGACAAGTGATGTATGGCCCAAACTGCTGACCTGTCAGAACCTGCCAGGAAGCATCGCTGACCCAGCATGGTCTGATCCGGGTGGGACTCAGCTGCGGAGTCATCAGGATCTGCACAGGCTTCTGCTTTACACACACACAGACACACACACAGACACACACACAGACACACACATGCACACAGGTCTGTAATTATATCTCTTTGGGGACTCTCCATTCATTTGTATTGCATTCATTTCTCCATTCTAATCCCAACGTGATGACCTTAACCCCTACCCAGTCCTAACCTTAAACATAAGTAATGAGACTGTTTTGTTATCTTTTTGATTGCATTCACAGATCTTTGTGGAGACCTGAATGTCAACACACAAGATCAAAATAACAGGTTTTTATTACATTGCGTTTGGTCCCCACAATGTAATATAAACCTAATTCCACACACACATACAGACACACACTTTCACACACACACACACACACACACACACACACACAGAGTCCCTGTTACATGGTGGATGTACAGTTTTAGCTGGAAATCAAAGACAGATCCATGCTACCTGTGACCTTTACCAAACATAGAGTCATTTCAAAGCTCTGTGGAAAGATGTCCTCTACTCCAGGTAGGAGCGGTTCTGGGGGGAGGGGGGCCAGCACCCCCCAACATGCATGCCCTCCCTCCCCATGGCCCCCCTAAATATGTATGCTACTTATGTCCGATATAAATGTATTATTATTACTGTTACTATTATTTACATTTATATAAGTGGGCTTATATTCTTGACGGACTCTTATCATGGGTGAGCTGAGTGGTTGAGCTGCTTCAGCTGGTGAAAAATAATCATGCTTGTGGGAAGCAAGAAATCAGAATCAGTTACATATTTGTAAAAATTGTAAAATATGACTGCAAAGCATTGCATAGCATCGATTTTCAAAACTGTCTTTTGCTTCTTAATGCTGGCAGTCTAGTGTAAGTAATACTTGGAGGACATTAAGGTCAAATGCATCTGTCCCCCCTAACAGAACAACTG